ACTGCATATGTCGATACTTATGGTTTGAGAGTTGGAGATGATCGAGAAATTTAGAGACATGAGCTTAGTGTGTGAAGAGACTTCCAATAGTGTGAAGTTAGGAATGCTGAAACTGACTAGTGGTATAATAGAAGAAATCCGAGAAGGCCAAAAGTTTGATTTGAAGTTAGTCGATCCATTAAATTTGATTAACCAGGGAAAAGGAGATAAGTTCAGAATTGATGAGAATGGTGTAATGAGGTTTGGCAATAGAGTGTGTGTTTTGGATATCCCAGAGCTTAAGAAGAGTATCATTGAGGAAGGACATAAAAGCGGGTTGAGTATTCATCCCGATGCTACGAAGATGTATCAAGACTTGAAGCAGTTATTTTGGGGCCTGGTATGAAGAAGGAGATCACTAATTTTGTTTATGCTTGTTTGACTTGTCAGAAGTCGAAGGTTGAACATCAGAAGCCTATGGGTCTTATGCAACAGTTAGTATTCTAGAATGGAAGTGGGAGAGTATTTCCATGGATTTTGTGTCGTGTTTTCCGAAGACTGTTAAAGGTAATGATTCAATTTGGGTGATTGTGGATAGTTTGACTAAGTCGACTCATTTCTTACTGATGAATATCAATTATCCTATGGAGAAGTTGGTTGAGATGTATATAGGAGAAATTGTGAAATTGCACGGAATACCCTCGAGTGTCGTGTCAGATAGAGATTCTAGGTTTACGTTGAAATTTTGGATAGGTTTGAAGAATGCCTTTGGTACTAAGTTGAAGTTGAGTTTCGCATATCATCCTCAGACGGATGGACAGACGGAAAGAACTATTCAGTCTTTAGAAGATTTGCTGAGGATTTGTGTGCTATAACAAGGAGGATCTTGGGATAGTCACTTGCCATGATTGAATTTACTTATAATAATAGTTTCCATTCTAGTATTGGAATGACGCCATATGAAGCGTTGTATGGCAGGAGGTGTATGACTCCATTGTGTTGGTATGATTCAGGTGAGAGTATTGTACTCAGACCTGGGGTTGTACAAGAGACAACTGGAAAGATAAAGATGATCCAAGAGAATATGAAGGCTTCTTAGAGTCATCAGAAGAGCTATCATGATAAGAGGAGAAAGGATCTTGAGTTCTAAGTAGATGATTATGTGTTCTTGAGATTTACTCTGGTAACCGGTGTAGGTAGAGCTTTGAAGTCGAGAAAACTTACGCCACATTTTGTTAGTTCACATCAGATATCAGAGAAGATAGGTTAAGTGGCTTATCAGATTACTTTTCCGCCGTTACTTGCGGACCTGCATGACGTGTTTCATGTGTCTCAGTTGAGAAAGTATATTCTGGATCCTTCACATGTGATTCAAATGGATGATGTACAGGTGAGAGATAACTTGATTGTTGAGGCATTACCATTGCAGATAGAAGGTCGGGAAGTGAAGCAATTGCGAGACAATGACATTTTCTTAGAGAAGGTATTATAAGGCAAGGACATTTCCTTAGAGAAGTTAACTCTTTTAGCCAACTTACAATTAAATAGATATTTTAATGATAATAATTAACATTTATAAATATTAAAAAAAATAAAAATAATAGTTGTTAATAATTTAATTGTCTAAAAATATAATTATGATTTATTACACTAACTTTTGGATATATATTTTCCCTATTATTTTTACTTATTAAACACATAAAATGCCGAAAGTCATATGTCTTTGGAGTATTTTAATTTAGAATTTATAACAGAATATAGTTGTGTTATTAGAAGATCCATTATTGTTTTATTAATGCTAGAAAAAGTGTATTTTTAGGTTATTGTATTTGGTTCCAATTTAACATATGGCTTAATAATTAATAAATTTTTAGTTATTTGGTTTTATAATGGTTCAATTTTGAAATTTCTTTGTAATGTTCTTTCATGTGATTAGCACTACTACAAAACACGCAAGTAACAACGCTCAAGTCACCACGGTTCTTCCAAATATCGTGGTGACATCTCTAAAATCATGCGCTAACATTTTTTATTTATTTATTAACTAAATTTTTTTAGGATATAATAACGATGGATGATCAGACTGTGGTGATACATTCGAACTTTCAAGGGTTCGAACCTCAGCGCCCTTAAAATTTTTATTCCTTTAACGTTAAGGTGCATCTTTTCTTTTTTATTTATTTTTAACAAAGAAAAAAAAGATATCACAACAATTTTTATGTCCAACCATTGTGATATATTTTGTCTTTGTATACCATTACGACTCGTCTTGTAAACCGTGAGGAAAAATGATATTTTTATATGTAAACATCACCCATTTCTTATCAGCCGTTTCTCTCTAAAAAAAACCTTAACATATCATCTCTCTAAAGGATTCTCTGAAACTGCAGATAACAATCATCCTTTCTCTTACAACAAGCAGCACAAAAGTGAATGTCTCAAATATTGCCATGGATTAAAATCACATGTTTCTACAGTCTCACTTTCTGCAGTCTCACTTTTAAGCACAACAGTAACAAGAAGCAACGTCTGACGCAAACTACGACAACGATGAAGATGGTATATTCTCATGCTCTCTCTTTCAATCTCTCAGTTGATACTTAGAAGTTAGAATTTATGGATTTAGGAATTTAGAATTTTGCTGATATGTGTGGTTGTATTATTATGATGCTCATGGTTGAACTTTGTTGTGTTTCGTTGCAGATTATGGTGTTGGATAGTTAAGAGGATGATAAAAAGCGTATAGTAGAATTTGATGGTAGACAAGGGATGGTTGATAGCAGTCTGATGAAGAACATATGATTTGTGTTGCAATGCAAAAAAATATAAGAAGTATGAAGTTATTGTGGAAACTTCATCCACCTTGTATTTCTTCTTCATTGCATCACAAACTAGATGAACTTCATAATTTATTACAATTCCACGATAATTTTCAATAAAAGGTGCATTCTTGAAACAATTTAATATAACTTGTGATGTTGTATGCTTTTGTGTTTTTATTTTATTGCATGTATTTATTTTGTTGTTGTATGTTGTTGTTGACAAATATTCTCAAAACAAGAGCATAACATTGCTAAGTCACAAGAAAGAGGTTTCTCGTGACTTTGTAATGTTTTGTACTTTAAATTCTTATACGGGTTGACAGTAGATGAAGTTTAGTTTATAATGGTTTGTTATTAAGTTTTTCCAATCTATATAAATTAATTTGATATTTTTGTTGATAAATATTGTTGATAAATATTGTTAGTGAGTTTGTTATATCATATGTGATTGCTTGTTTCACAAATCTTCATTGAACTTGCATTCATTTAAATATATTTTTGAGATAATAATTAAAAAAATAAATTATTCTTGAAAATCAACTTAGATGATCCAATGTTTTTTTGAATTGTATGCATCTTGTAAATTATAATTCCCTCTTTAGTGTATAAAATTTCATTAAATGTCACAAATTCTTCAAAACAAGTATGATAAATGGGTGCTAGTCGAGATCTTTCACACAAATCTTAGATGTTTGAAAAATAAAGTAGAAAAGAAGAGGAAATTAAATTTTATGTAAGACTCAAATTGACATCTTTTTATAAATATTACTTTGAAGAATTTGGGATTGAATCAAATCCTATAGGCTAAAGAGAAAATCATGATTTACATGATGCTTGCAATTCGAAAAATATTAGATCTTTTAAGTTGTTTTTCAAGAATAACTTAATTTTTCTGGCTATTATCTCAAAAATCTATTTGAATGATAATATATGGTTAATCAGGGGTAAGAAAAAACAAGCAATTCCATATTTTATGATAAATTCTTATATATAGCACAAGTGTTGGAACTTATAACCGTGGAGAAATGCTATTTTTTATGCGCTATAATTTTGGTTGTAACTGAGTATGGAACCCATGCCAGTATATTTGTGACAACATTTATTTACATCAACTGTAATGACTTGTGATAGACAGTTCACCAGACCGTGATTGTAAGTGACACATATACAATCACACGTTACATAATAACGTCTGCTCCTGCGTGATTATTTATCTTTCTCAATCGTTGTTAAATATCTTTTCTGTAATAGTAGTGTTAGAATCGAAAATATTAATAATATTATAATGATACGTAAGTTATTTGAATATTAATAATAGTGGTAATTATATCTTAATTTTAAGTAGAAAATCCTTGCAATCACAAATGTTACAATCATTGATATAAAACAAAGATCCGACCAGCATATAGTGGTAATTATATCTTAATTTTGAATTTAGTTTTATTTTTATATAAATATAAAATTAAACTCAATCTCCTTCCAAGAAGTTGGTAATGTGGCATTGTAGTAATTAAAACAAAAAACATGGAAAAATGATTACCATGACGTCACAAAGATAACAACCCCCACTATCTTCCACAATCCGACAAAAACCATTTCTCAGTGGCTCCCTTTGTAATATTCCACCAAAATCTCTCCTTTTTCTAACCCTCTTTTCGTCTTTCTCTTCTTCACAACACCCCATTTATTTTCACACCAATCCTCATCGAAACAAAAAAGCACAACACAAATAAACAACATAGGAGTAACAAAAAACATACGTAGAAAAAAAAACACATATTTTTCATCAAAAATGGAGAAGATGATGATACCTCTTTACAAGCTTGAATCTCGTGGGATAGTGTAGTTTCTTCCAAAGTTTCTATCTTTCTTGTTCTTTCGTTCGTTTGTTCTTTTCAGTTCAGTTCCAACTTTCTCTCTCCACTTTTTTTTTTCACTTTCTCTCTCTTACTCTACCGGAGGATGGACTTCCGGTGCCGAACACTGACCATAGTTAACTTAGATCCGGAGAGAAAAAGAAGTGGTGGGTTGAGAACAAAACAAGCTGGGAGAGGATCGTGCCGTGGTAGTTAGAGTCTAGGAGATGTGAAAAAAATGCGTCTTGTTTGGTTTTGAGACTTACCCTTTTCTTCATTCTTACTTTGAATGCTGCTTTGGTTCTATTGATTCGAAAAAGTTGAACTTTTTTGTGGAAAAACAATGGGGTTTTTGTTGAAAGAAGGTTTGAAGAGTCTTTGTGGTAGGAATCAATGGTGTTATGCTGTTTTTTGGAAGATCGGTTGCAATAATTCCAAGTAAGTGGTTTTGATGAAATAAGTGTTTTTTTTTTTTTTTTGCTTATTAATTAAGTGGAAAAAGAAAAAGATTGATTGGGTTTGGATTAATTTTGTACTTTATTGATAATCCAAAGGGGTTTCTTATGTTAAATTCTTGTTTAGATTCCATTTCTAGGGTTGGTTAATTTTCAAGAAATAATCCACATGTTTGATTCCATTTCTTGTTTAGGTTTAGATTCCACATGTTTCTGGTTTGTTTAGGAGAATCTTTGTTTCCCATTTTTTAGATATAAAACAATTTTTTTTTGTTTTGTTTTAATTTTTTAAAAGCTTTGATTGCATTGGTTTGTGAGATTCCATTTCTATTTAGGTTGATTTGTCTGTCAAAGAATCAAGGATAGCTGATGAAAACAACTTATAGCTTATATTAACTACTTTGACTTTATTTTATTCTTTGCCATAGAACCAACTTATACATGTAAGTGCTTATATGTTATAAGTGCTTAATTAAGTAGTATATCCAAACAAGGTCTACTTGTGTTGTATTTGAGTAAATTAAGCATGTTTGACTTTGCAGGCTGTTAATCTGGGAAGATTGCTACTATGAACCATTGCCATCTCGTTACCTTCCACAAGTCGCTGGAACGTCGAACTTGCCGTACCGAGATAGGGAAGGATGTTGGTTTTCTTCGGATTCTCAGCTAAGGATTCAAGAGGATGACAGAGTTTGTTCATTGATTAACAAAATGATGGTGAATAATTCGGTTAATGTTGCCGGTCAAGGGTTGGTGCTTTCTCTGTCTTTTCAGGTTTCTAGTTTTATATGTTTTTTCGTGTCATTGCCATCTCACTCGGGTGCGGTTCTTTGCTGTTACGCAGGATACTCGGACGGGCGGCGTTCACAGGAAATCATCAGTGGATTGTTTTGAACAATTTCATCAAAGACGCGTATCCACCAGAGGTACGGAGTTTTGATGATCTACTTCAAGTATTTATATCTGAAGTTTTGATGAACTTATGAACTTCATTCTCATTTCTCTATATTGTGTGTACTTTTTTAGGTATTAACCGAATTGCATTGCCAATTTTCAGCCGGAATGCAGGTTTGTGTTTTTAACTATGCTTTGAATTTTGCTATAAAATTTTAGTTACTTTTCGCGATCCATCATTGTATTTTCTTTTGCAGACAGTGGCGGTTATTCCCGTGCTTCCCCATGGTGTTGTTCAACTCGGTTCTTTCTTGCCGGTTTGTTTTTTTTATTTTTAATTGTTCTGTAATTTTAAAGAAACTCAACAACCTTGTCTTTAATAATTTTTGTTAGTGAATAACTGAATTTCTCTGTAACCGTTGTTAGATAATGGAGAATATCCCATTTGTGAATGATGTGAAGAACTTGATCTTTCAATTGGGACATGTTCCTGGTGCGCTTCTATCTGAAGACTATTCAACAAGACTCTCTAACGAAAGGCAACCCATGACTAATTGTATGCCGTTTTCTTTTGATCCACAAGTTACTACCTCAAACTGCACTCCCTCGGTAGCTAACGGTTCTAACCAACCGAGTAATTCACCGCATGTTCCAATGCATGTCGCTGCTCAACCACTTTCTTTTCAAACGGGAGAAATAAATAGTTATCACAACAACGCTTCTGTATTGACACCTCAGTCCCAAAATCTAAACCAGATATTTGAAAGCTTTTGCCAACCAAAGGCTCAACGAGAGAATGCAACCGTGAAGGCTGAAGCTGAAGTGATATCTACAAATCTCGATTCTTCATGTCTGCAACAACGTTCTTTTTCATATAATGCAAGGTCCACACTCAATATGGAACAAGTCTTATCAGGTATCGGGACGCAAAGTCATGGTAACGCTAATATGGATCCATCGTCAAGTGCCGTAAATATGTCTCGACGGCAAACCGATGGAGGCCAAATTTATTATCAGAATTCTAACAACACTTCACTTCTCGGAGGAATCCCAATATGTAGTAGTGCAATGAGTAATAATAATCTTCTAAGGAAAAATATGATTAATTGCTCGGTTTCAAATCCTTTGAAGTTATCAACTACTGATTTTTCCGGAACACAAAAAGTAGGGTTTGGAATCCAAAATGATAATTCAACTACATCAGCCAATCAGAAGATTCTCCCCATTGATTCAAAGTATGCTCAAAATGCTTCGGCTTCCACCGATGAAAGGATCGATGACTTGCTTCAGGCTCTGAAGATCCCATCATCTCTTCATCATAAGGAGCACGTGCCAATGAAGGAGCACGTGCCAATGAATGATCCTATCCCTGGTTTTCTTCATGATTTGGAACTTGAAGAAGTGTGTACGCAACTTTCATCTGGCGATGACGACTTGTTTGATGTCTTGGGCGTGGATTTCAAAAGGAATCTGCTGAACGGAAACTGGAATACATTGTTTGCCGATGAATCTGACGCCAATGCAGAAAATCTTGATAAAAAGGCGACGTCTACTAATTTTCCAGTTGTAGGTCATGATAATATTTATCCGGTAAATGAAGCAATATTAGGCAATGGCATCTTCTCTGGAACAAGCACTGGCCATCTCTTAGATGCCGTTATCTCAAAAACTCAACCTGCTTCAAATGAGAATTCCGACGAAATGTCTTGCAGGACTACAATAACAAGGATTAGTACCGCATCCGTTCCTTCTACTGGCATTCAGATTATTCGCGACCGTGTTGGCCAGGGGGCGCTGTTTGATTTTCCCAAAGCGGAGATTAAAACTAGCGCAGTGGAAACAAGTTCTCTTAGGTCTGGTTGCAGCAAAGATAATGTTGGAAACTGTTCTCAAACCACTTCCATATACGGTTCTCAACTTAGTTCATGGGTGGAAAACGGTAGCAGCAGCCATGTGAAACGTGAAGATAGTGTTTCAACCGGATACTCCAAGAGACCAGATGAAGTTAGCAAACCAAATCGTAAAAGGCTTAAACCTGGAGAGAACCCTAGGCCTCGACCTAAAGATCGTCAAATGATTCAAGATCGCGTGAAAGAGTTACGCGAAATTGTGCCCAATGGAGCAAAAGTATATTCCTCTTGTGCCATTTTTAATCTCATTCCACTTTTTCTTAATTAGATAATCTCAATAGTGGTGCTGAATTTTTCTTGTTTTTCTCTTGTGACGATAATGATTCAACAGTGTAGCATAGATGCTCTTCTTGAAAGGACCATCAAACATATGCTTTTCTTGCAAAGTGTAACAAAGCACGCCGATAAGCTGAAACAGATGGGAGAATCCAAGGTAAAGCATCATCTGTCGCATTTTCCGTGTTTGTTCGAAAACTTATCTTATTATGATGTTAAAGGTTTTCACACCCTCATTGATATTTGTTGGTATTCATACTTACCTTTTTTAAATGTGCAGATTCTTAGTAAAGAAGGTGGATTGTTATTAAAAGATAACTTCGAGGGAGGGGCTACATGGGCGTATGAGGTTGGTTCACAATCAATGGTTTGTCCTATCATAGTTGAGGATCTTAATCATCCCCGTCAGATGCTTGTCGAGGTAGTAACCAACCGATTCTTCAAAAAGTTATAACATTCTTTTGCTTCCCCTAACATGCTCTGTAGCACCGACACCTGGTCACCAACACCGTCACAACACCAACACTTGTGATTACATTTAATTCATTCATTTTTTCTAATTATTACCGGTGTCGACGTGTCAGTATTGGTGTCGTGTGTGGTGTCCGGTCCGTGTCCGTGCTTCATAGCTAACATGTTTTATATGTTATCTCTTTTTAACCTGCTTGCATTGTTATTCTTACAGATGCTTTGTGAGGAACAAGGTCTCTTTCTTGAAATAGCCGATTTAATCAAAGGATTAGGATTAACTATCCTAAAGGGCGTCATGGAAGCTCGCAATGACAAGATTTGGGCACGCTTTTCTGTCGAGGTATTAAACCATTGGTTGATTGCAAAATGCTTCATCTGATCCTAGCACCGTGGCAAGTGTTCATATCTGTTCATTGCCCGACTTTTTCAATACATTCATCAATGTTAATTTTTGCAGGCAAACAGGGATGTAACAAGGATGGAAATATTCATGTCACTAGTTCGACTTTTGGAACAAACAGCAAAAGGAGGCGCATCTTCATCAAATGCTGCCGTTGATAACAACATGATGGTTTATCATTCGATCCCGCAATCCACCTAGTTTCTTCTCGGTCTGGAATGTTGTTGAGAGCACATACTTGCCATGATTGACATCAAATCTAGTCTTATATTAGATTTCAGTTTCAGGTGATATTAACTTTCTCTAACCGCACCGTCGTAAGGAATGTGTTTAGTTAGTAAAATGCATTTCAAAGGTTAGTATGCATTGGTATAAAACATATGTAAGAATGTTTCCTTTTAGTTAACTTGCATTTTTTTTCTATATTTCATGTAATTTCATTGGTGTTAGTTAGTGTCATGATTCAGATGTATAGATGTTTTAGGATTTTGACAGGAGGTTCAGATGTTAGCCACCAGCCTATGCAGTTATTCTTCTTTTTGACATATTCTCTTGGAGTAGTGATCTATGATGTGTTATAAATACTAATGTTATTAATGGCTGCTTTGTGTGGTTTGTATTTTTTACTTGTAATTTGAACTTAAGAAATATCATGTGTGGTTTGTGTTACTGTTTGGTTATAGACTTGTTTCACCCTTCTCTCTAACTGATACAATTTAAAAACTTGTCCTAATCAATCTAATAGTTTCCAATTTACCTGGTTAAGCTCCAAAAATATTTTAGGTGATTTTATTTGAAAAATAGAGGTTTTAAAAATAGTTTGTGTGTGATTTAGTCATACTACTTATTTGAATGTCCTTAAGTTTTTATAAAAAATTAATCACTCATCTAAACACGATCAGCCGAGCTTTCATATTTTTCCTCTTTTTACACTCTGAGACTTCAAATTCTTTTGCTAGATATACTAATTATATAAGCACTTCATTTGAATATTCTTGTGGATGAGGTTTGAGATATCTTCAAGTCAGACGCCATTATTATTAGATCATATTATTGGTGATCATAAAATCCTAATTCTTTAGCTTGATTCGGAGGAATAGTTTGATCACCATCTCATGTCTCTTTGATTGCTTGCTTTATTACATGCTTGTCTTTATGCATTGTTGACATTAAAATTATTTTAGAGTCTGTTTGGTTCGAGGTAGATGAAGGGGAGGAGATATTTCTAATGAAATATATTTGGTTCAATTTTTAGGAGAGGGAGGAGAGGGGAGGAGAGTAAAATCCTACAAAAAATATTTTTTGTGTTCCCCCAAATCAGAGAGATTCAGAGGGGAGGGGAAGGAAAATAATTTTTATATATAATACATTAATATATTTATTAAAGTGTCCTCAATTTTATTTTAGTACTTTAAAATTATTATTTTCTTTGTTTTACCTGTTTCTCTTTTGTGTGATTATTCTCTATTATTTTTGTCAACTTATTATAATTATTTTTCACCTTAAAATTATTATTATTTTTATTTAATATAAATTATAATTAGGGTTAAGTATATTTTTGAGCTTTAGAAATATCTCAAATTTTATTTTTAATTCCTATTAAAAAAATGATAAATTTTGGTCCCTAAACAATTTTTGTTCATCCAGATTTAGTCCCTGCTATTTTCTAAAATTTTAAAAACTATTTAATTACCTTAAAATTTTTAAATTTTTTAATAATATTTTTTATATGTGTTTAGAATACTATAAAATGTTTCTTTATCAAATTTTAGGATTTTTTAAAATGAGAAGAATTAAATATGATTTTTAAAAATTTTAAAAGATATTGATAAAAATAATGAAAATCTCGACTGAGAAATTAAATTTTGAATTTCTTTTTTTCCAAGGAACTTTTAATAATGTTCTAAATATATCTACAAAGTAATCATTCAAACATACACATTAGTTTGACAACATAGACTAAAACTATGTGTATAATAATTTTTTAGGGACTAAAACATGTCATTATTTTAATAAGGATTGAAAATGAAATTTGAGATATTTATAGAGACTAAAAACATATTTAATTCTAATTACTATAATATATATTTTTTATAATTTTTATTTTTATATTTATTTATTAGTTTTTTATTTAGTTTTGTTATGTATTCTATTATATTTTCTTTTATATAAAATTTTAAATTATTTATTATTTTATTATATTATAATATATAATATATAATAATAATAATATAATTTATGTATTAAAAATTGTTAATACATAGTTTATTTTGTGTCAAAAATTATAATACAAATCAAATGTATTCGATTTTTTTAATGTAATGTAGTAAGTTATGACTTTCTAATTATTTAATATTACACATTTTATTTTCAAAAAATATTTATGAATTTTTCACTTTTGAATATTATATCACTTATATAAAATTATAAATATAAAAATGTAAATTAGTAATAAAATCTCTTATCTCTTTTCGTAAATAAAACATATTTTTAATTAAAATCTCTTCATTCCCCTCCCCATCCCCTCATTTGAAACAAATATATTTATAATTAAAAAAAAATTCCTCTTCTTCCCTTCCCTCCATTAAAATTCCTGTGGATTATCCATAATAATGAGGAACAAGAGTCTTAAGAGATAACTAATCAAGAGTATTAAGAGATAACTAAAGAATTAAAATAAATTAGTTCAACGAGTTCATAAGAACACTTTCTTATTTTTATCTATTTGAGACCCAAATCTCCCATGCTTTCAATACGAGTCATTTATTCAATCTCAATATTTTTAAAAGTATTTTTCAACTTTTATTATATTATGTCCTTAAATAAACTAAATCCTGAGAATAACCAACCCTAATAATTTTCTCTTTGTATCTCTAAATTCCTCTCACTATAAAACCTCTCATTCTAGCCAAAAAAAAAAAGTTAGAAAAAAGTTTAATCAAACCTCCATCTAGAGTGGTCTTCTGTTTTAAAATTATCAAAAACAAAAAATAAATTCTCGTTTGAGTTTTAAAATTTCAAAAATAAAATCAGTTTTAGTTTAAGTTATAAAATTTTATAAATCCAAAATAAGTTTAAACTTAAATTTAAAAAAGTTATTTATGATAAATATATCTTAATTCAAATAATTAAATATGGTAGTTAAAGATGATTAAAGTGGTGATTGGTAGCAGTTAGAGTTGTGGTTAGTGGTTGTATCAATGGTTATGATCATTTATTGTTATAATGGTGGTTTACAGTATTTATAACAAATGTCTTTAGAAATCTCTAAGGTAGGAATCAAGAAAGTAAGAAAAATACAAGGAATTGTTATTACTTTGAAAGAAGATTACAAGTGTTATATAATAATAAATAATCACTCTCATTCTAAATTAAAATTTACAGTGATTTAATGATGAGAGACTAGTATGCTATTTATAATAAAATTAACACATTAAACTAATGGGCTTTTACAGACAGACACATTACAAGCTAACTTAGGAAAAAAGCTAACTTAAACAATTGTACATAACAAACAAGGCCAATTCAACATGTTAATAATCCTAACAACTTCTGTAACATCCTTCTAAACCCACATATATTTCACATGAATTTTTACGAAAACAAAATCAAATAGAGACCACCGAAAGGCGTCACATCTTCATAAAACATCAAATATAACAAATTCTGCTCCGTAATACGGGTTGTAAAATACTTTAAATTATATAATACTTTGGTCTCATCACATAATCACTTCAAATAACGCAGCGGATTCGTAGTCTCAAATCAATCCTTATTACTAAGGTACTACACAAAAATCATCGTCATAATTTATCAATTAAACTTCATAATCCAAAACAGTTCACAATACCAATAAAGGTAGTTTATAAATCTCAAAATAAGCTAAAGACATAAGGTTCGCAATCAAACAATCTCAACTCTGATATTACATATCAGAGCAAGACTCCCTTTATTCTACGAAAAATGAATAAATACACTTTGAAGCTATCTTCTAAGCTTCCTGCACTAATCTTGATCATGCAAGTTACCCACGGATAGTGTAACACCCCACTTCTACCCGACGGATAATAATAAAACTAGAGTTCAACATAAATAGAAAACTATATTTTTCAACTTAAAATCAAACTTCATTTAATCGTATATAAAACAGATACATAACACTTAATTCGGATGAACCGATAACAACCTGATTTATTCTTTAAAATCAAACAACTTTTTATTGATAAACAAAGGAATCTACATACTCAACTTCAATTCACTTAACATATTTTATTCAACTAAAACAACCTCAAGACAATAATTATTTCATGTAATCATTAAAAATTCAGCAACTGAAATAATAATCAACAACTAAACATCAAGCGTTCATCCCCCCGAGTGCTACGTATCAGAGCGACAACACCGACTCGAGCTAACGAAGGTAACAACTATCCTTCTTGATTACCTACACGTTACCAACAGAGGACAATATTCAAACAAAAGGGGTGTGATATCTAACAATATAATAGAATGTATGATAATTTAATATAACATAATCAGTTCATATAAAATCACCACTTTGCAACTTTCAAACAACTTTAATCTCGACAAAACATCAACACAAGATAATGGCTAATTCACAGCTTTCAGATGATACATGTCAAAACAAGTCAATAACATAAAGCAATAAATAATATCTCATCACCACAACTCAAGGATGCAACATAAAATGCGACTCAATTACAATGCACATGCATGTGGTACCATTGGAGCAGAACTCTCAACTTAAAAATCTGCCAATTAATAGAGGCAACAACAAGGCATAAGCCTTCAACTTAATATTTGCCAATACAGACCAACTTACAGAGCATGAGCTCCTGTTGTACCCCAAAATTTTCCCTCCCACTTATCAATAATTTTCTCACAAGATCTCCTTTGGCTCAAGACTACATTAGGGTTGATCAGCTCAAGACACCTCCTTAAGCACTGATGACCAAAATTAGGGTTGGAGATTGCACAAAGATATTTGAAATTCCAATGCTCCATATGAATTTCATGGATCATTATTTACCCTCAAGATTACTCATGTCAGGTTTCAAGCTTTGGATCACACTTTTGCTCAGTCAATTGGGCAGTTGACCTAAAAATCAACTGTATTGGGGAAAAAGTCAACTGTGGCCAATGTACAGTCAAGCTTCATAATTTTTGATTCACATCAATAT